AAAATGCATAGTGAGGATTTTCCTCTGGTGATTCCAATTCAGTTGACCTGGGTGATTAACGATGCATCCTTAGTTGAGATTCACTATAATATAATGAGCAAACTATTTCTAATTGACCCAAGGGTTTGGGTCATAAATAGTCTGTTTTAAGGTTAGAGAGGGTGGTGGGAACAGGTATTCCTAATGAGGATGTAGAGCTGATCCTTAAGAAAATAGGGAGCCGCGGTAAGTTCTTGAGTTGTGGTTGAATATAATTAGAGTTACATTTTAAAAAATATTTCATTTATGCATTCATTCTTTCATTTTTTTTATTCTGATATTTATTTCTCACCACCATCGACCAGTCAAACAAGATGCCAAATCTTTTGACTGTTTGTAGGATGAGCTACAAGAAGGAACACCAGCAAAAAGCATATGGTAGTACATGAAATGTGATGTCATGAGATGGATGAATGGGAAGAGGAGTTGATAGGGTTTCCTAATTCAGTGGAAGGGATAAAGAAGGGTGAGAAAGGAATGATGACACCACGTCTTTTGCAAGGTCCCTCTCTTTAAGCAGGACCTCCCAGGGCTGGGAAGCAGAGAAGGGGTGAGAGAATTCAAGTCACTGTATGCTTTTAGCTCTACTGTTCAGTACAGTATCCTATGGGTCTGACAAAGACAAGTAGCGTGGCTCAGTAAGCCCTTGAAAGGGGGATTTAGTCAGAGGCATTATATTTTAAATCCATAAATGACGAGATTCCTGCCAAGCTTCTTTTGAATCAAATAAAGTCCAGAATATGGGGGAAGTAGGAATGTTCATTAATGTGATAAGACAGCATTTCTACATGAATGATACAAAATCAAATAGAGTCTTTGTTTTCATTGCTTCTGGAGAATCAAAGCCGGAATCCTTTTGTGGCTCTGTGCTTATAACAATATAGTGTATCTTTTCATCATACTTTCCGGAATAAAAGGGTGTATAGTGTCTCTGAGCAGTGACAGGCATGTTTCCTTGAACAATACCCTGTAAAGGTCACATTGGAGATTTGAGTCACAAGCCCTGTGACTTAAATTTGAGGCTAAGTTTAAAAATGGTGTGCCCAGAGCTTGCCAATTCCATTAAAAAGCCCTGGTGTCATTTTGGATTACAGTTGAATAGAACAGGACCCAGTGGGATATTGTATCTTTCTTGGTAGCAGTACATAGATTTTCTTCTTTGTATCGTTCCCTGGCTATGTCATTATGGTAGATATCTACTTTCACACCAAATCCTGGAAAATAATGTCTAATTTCATGGACCTATTTTTTTTCTGAAGTAGCTCATTTTCTAGCTTTTCAATTATCATTAGAGGATTTCTGTGAAAGCCTAATTATTTGTGTGTGTTTAGTTATGGTTGATCTTGAATGCTACCTTCCTTACTGAAGCCTTCTAGATTGCCCTCATTCCTGAGATAGAGGATCGCCAGCCCTTTCAAAGTTTCAGAGCACTTTCTCCCTCACTGACATCATCACGCTGTGTTATATAACAGCACTACCACTCCTTCCTAACAATTGATGAGTTCTTACCATGCACCCCTTATTGTGCCAAGCAGTTGTATAGGTTATCTTACTTAATGCTCACAGCAGCCTACGTGGGAAGTATATCATTTCTGCATTTTACGGATGAGGAAGCCAAGGTTAAAGAGTTTAAATACCTTGCCCAAGATCATACAGCTAGTTAGTGATGAAGCAAGAACAGCCCTAGGCAGTCTGGTCCAGACCCCATTCTTTCAAACACGTATTAGTACCACCTTCTCATAATTTTTGATGTCCACGTTGCATCCGCTTCCAAAGCAGTAACATGCTTGAGGGAAAGGCTATCTTGCTTTTATCAGTGTGCCTGGAATTTTCTGACATACTGACTGACTCAGAAGTATGAACTATGATATTTGTCTTTCTCTGTCTGGCTTAGAGAAAGACAAATATCATATGATATCACTTATATGTGGAATCTAAAAAAAGGATACAAATGAACTTATTTTTAAAACAGAAATAGACTCACAGACACAGAAAACAAATTTATGGCTACCAGAGAGGAAAGGGGGAGAGGGATAAATTAGGAGTTTAGGATTAAAATACATACACTACTGGGCTTCCCTGGTGGCGCAGTGGTTGAGAGTCCGCCTGCCGATGCAGGGGACACGGGTTCGTGCCCCGGTTCGGGAAGATCCCACATGCCGCGGAGCGGCTAGGCCCGTGAGCCATGGCCGCTGAGCCTGCGCGTCCGGAGCCTGTGCTCCGCAACGGGAGAGGCCACAACAGTGAGAGGCCCACATGACGGGAAAAAAAAAAAATACACTACTATATATAAAATAGATAACTAACAAGGACCCACTGTATAGCACAGGGAACTACACTCAATATGTTGTAATAACCTATAGTGGAAGAGAATGTAAAAAAGAATATATATATTTATATACATATATGTATAATTGAATCATGTTGCTATATATCTGAAACTAACACATTATAAATCAACTATATTTCAATAAAAATTTTAAAAATAAAAGAAGTATGCAAAAAAGAAGTGTACAGTAAATAGTGGTTGAGTGAATGTTTGGAAATTACCGTCGAGGTTTTATGGGAAACAGGGTACACGTTTAGGCATACCACCCGAAACTTTGTTTTTAAGGGATGTGAGGAAATCAGAAAGCTAGTATGTGAGATTTTAAGAAGAGTTTCTATTCATTTTGTATTCCCGTCATTTAGGTTAGAGTCCATGGTCCAGGTATTTTCATTCCCTGTTCTTTGTCAAGCTCTTCTTCCTTTTATGCAAAGATAAACTGGCTCTGTTTGGCTCTGTTCTCTTTTTTTTCTTTCCCCACGTAATAATCCTAGGCTCCAGTTCTGCAGAGCTCTGAAAACTCTATCAGTTGTTCTTCCTTGTTTCTTTATTCATGCCTTAAGCTTTTGTTGCCTAAATTAAAATAAAATTTTTAAAAGTTCCATGTGACCTTCCTGCTTTATCCTTCTCTAGCTTTTCCGAGGAGCTTCCCAAGTATAGTGTGGTTATGACCAGAAGTTCCAAGGCTCATGCAGAAGGCTATGGCATTAAAAGCTGGCACGTTGAGGGGAATTTTGAAGTGATTGACTGGTGGGCAGTGACCCTGAAACATGCTGTAAGAGTGGGTGCTGGGACGGCTGGTGGCGAGTAAGCTGTTGGCAATGGAACAACCCAAAACATGTAGATTTTTGACTAAAAATAAGAACGGAAACCTAGATGGAGCCCTGCCGAGACTTGTCAGCCACCCTTTAGCTGTTAAGATGGATATAGCTACGAGGAGATGCAGTCCTGTCACTCAGAGACATCCACAGAAGATGCAGGCTCTATTCCTGGTTGCGTCAGGGATGCCATTCCCCTTAGGGAAAGGTGATGTTCTCCTTCACTGGGACGATGAAGGCACTGTGGGTCACATGGAGGCATCAGAGGAAGATGGGCCGTTTGCTTTGCTATCTCCTTGATGTCACACAGCACACAAACCGGCCCTGCAACCCATGGGCACCACTGGGTTTCCAAAGAGCTCTCTTTGCATAAGGAGGAAGGTGGGAGAGGAAGTGCACTGCTTAAAGTTGGCTATCTGTATTTCTGTGGGGCCTGACTCAATAAAACAATGTCTGATATAAAACTAAAGCAAATGAGGAGAGGAATTTTCTTGATCAATTTAGTAGTATGTGAGTTACCTTAGTATATTGCAGCATTACCTGTTCTCTTGTCAATAATATTTCTGTTTATGGAATATTTTTCTTTTTTTATTGAAGTGTAGTTGATTTACAATGATGTGTTAGTTTCTGGTGTTGAGCAAAGTGATTCAGTTGTATATATACTTCTTCAGATTATTTTCCGTTATAGTTTTACAAGATATTGAATATAGTTCCTTGTGCTATAGTGTAGGTCCTTGTTGTTTATCTATTTTATGTATAGTAGTGTGTCTCTGTTGATCCCATACTCCTAATTTATCCCTCCCCCCGCCTTTGGTAGCCATAGGTTTGTTTTCTATGTCTGTGAGTCTATTTCTGTTTTGTAAATAAGTTCTTCTGTATCATTTGTTTTAGATTCCACATATAAATGATATCATATGATATTTGTCTTTCTCTGTCGACTGACTTCACTTTGTATGATAATTTCTAGGTCCATCCATGTTGCTGCAAATGGCATTATTTCATTCCTTTATATGGCTGAGTAATATTCCATAGTATGTATGTGCCACATCTTTTTATCCATTTATCTGTCCAGGGACACTTAGGTTGCTTCCATATCCTGGCTATTGTAAATAGTGCTTCTATGAACATTGTGGGTGCATGTATCTTTTTGAATTAGAGTTTCCTTATTTTCTGGATACATGCCCAGGAGTGGGATTGCTGGATCATATGGTAACTTTATTTGTAGCTTTTGAAGGAAGCTTCTTACTGTTCTCCATAGTGGCTGCACCAAGTGAAATAGTTTTCTAAATCACACAGGCCACAGAGTGAAATGAGGGGGAGAGTCAGCCCTGAGGCCTTTTAGGCTTTGATGCCTGGGCTGTAAACCTGACTTCAGGAATCTGTGCCTTAGCTTTCTTATCTGGAAAATGGGGCCAGTGCCCTCTAATTGCAGGGCCATCGTTCAGAGTAAAGAGTCTGTGCCCAGTGCCTCACAGCTGGTGGGTTCTCAGTGAAAAGTAGTGTTCCCGCCTTCATGCTCATACCCTGAGCACCGTCCTTCAACCCTTGTCTGGTTAAATAAGGGGAAAAGCAGAGTTCTCTTGGTTATAAAATACTGCTGGCCTTTAGAAGTTTCTAAACACAATGCTGAAAGATTACCATCCACCCTGTCATTTATGAGTAAGAAGATCTGGGAGTACAAAAGCAATAGCAATTCATACTGTTATCTTAATAATAGCGGTAGGTGCTACTACGGCACTTTCTGACCACAGTGGCTGCTACTGGCAGTCATGGTGCTTTGGACACATCCTAATGGTGTGCTTTTTTTCTCCTTCCAGAAGCATCTGGCATGTCAGAGCTACAGTGTCTTCCATGGGACTTCCTTTGTGAACAGCTTCCATTTAAAAGAGTTGTGTGAATACCTTGTTTCAGTCAAGTTCCCAAAGAACACATTTGTCTTCTGATCTGCTGGAGGGCTTAAGGTTTGTGTTAATTTTTCCATTTGTCTCACTGAAGTTATTATTAATTTTGAGGGATATTTTTTAAATGGGTAATAGTCATACCCTATTGCAATAAGAACTGTGGAAGTAGGTTATGCACAGATTGTAATCCTTTGATTTCATTGGGAGATGGATCTAAATGAGAAGAAATTTGATATGATCCTTCTCATACTTACTATTAGATACTCTGGGGGATGTTACAAGGATATTAGAAATAAAATATATCCCCCACGTTGGCTTAAAACAAGTTTTATTTCTGTGTTCATAAATTCTAACTGAACAGATCCAGTACATTTTTATTGAGCGTCTACATATATCAGATTTTGTTAAGTACTTTCAATTAGCTAAGACCTCGCTGATAAATTATATTTTGAAACATTGAAAATCAAAACTGCATTTGTCAGTATCAACTAGTGTTATCATTATGACATTTTTCAAATTATAAAATCTCAGTAGCCAGAATGTTTTCATTTAGCTCTGCCAAGGGGTCCTCACCCTATGATTGATTAGGATAGAACAGGGGGATGGTGGTGGTTGTTTAATGTGTGTGCGTTAACAACGCGAAAAATCACTAACAGTATTGTTGCTCACTTAAAGACAGAGCTTGCTAGCAAAGCAAGCATTTTATTTTGGAAGTGCGTGTTCTGCTTCTGAGATGGTACCAAGTAAACCACTTTTATTCTGAAAGTGCTTTCTGACAAAGACCTACCTAAAGGCTGAAATTAATCCACCCATCTTTCATAGATGGAAAAATGAGCAAGAGAGCAGATAAAGCTTGGCTCTTGGCTCACTGAGTGGATAAAAACTAAGTGAAGAGCAAGGGAGAAGGAACAGAGTACTTTCCCTAGAATGACATGTCTTTTCCCACAGACTTTTATTTCATTCGGTTGGACTTTTATTCTGTCCACGGTGACAAATGTTTTCTCCTGTAATGGCCCTCTACTGTGGGTTTTTTTTTTAACTTCTCTTACTGAGAAATCAAAGTAGATTTCACTGCAGTGCTGGGCTAGATTCCAGTTTTCCCACTGCACCCTTCATTGCTGGGCCCCATGATTGATTCACTTTGAAGGGTGAGGCATGTGGTACATACATATTGGGGGAGAGGACGGATGGGAGGTTGTGTCTCCTTCTTTAACTCTCCAGTCTGTCAGCTTGGTAGGATGTTACGGTGTGCAGAGATGTAACAAGTGTCTGACGGAAAAAGAGGTGCTAGAAAGGACTTGAGAAGTTACCTAAATGTTCTTCCCTAGTCCGCAAATAAGATCCCACTTGAACTGTCCGAAACCAATGAGAAGCTATTTGTTTTCCGACCTTTATACCTAGGTATCCACTTTCCCTTTGAATCCTAATACAGATTCTCCTTTCTTAGAAACCTCACTGTCTAGAAAACCTAAGTGTTTCTCGACATCCTCGCGTGGCACTTTATTTCTTCTGTTATGGAGACAGAATATATGGTCAGAGTCCCCCTGTATCATCATAGACTTAAGTCTCAAGTCATCCTTTTTGTCTTCAGGAGAGAGAAACCCATTTTTCTGAACCGTTCCTGTGAAACTGTACAGTCCACAAATTTATTGATCCCCACAGTTTTGTGCTGAGTCTCTTAAGTTCTCTGCATTCCACTTAAGTTTGAGAATACAGACAGGTTGCAGGAACATGAAAAATCATCTATTGTTGTTTCTCAGTGGGGCCACTATTGACATTTGCAGGGGGATACTTCTCTGTGATGCAAGATCAGCCCATGGATTTGATCAATAGAAAGGTTAGTAGCCCTGCCTTCAAGGAACTAAAGACCAGCAGCACCCCGCCACCCAGTCCCCAGTTGACGTGATAACCAAATTCAAACCTCCTTTGCCTGTCCCTGCAGAGGAGGACCCGGATTGCCCAGACCAGAGGGTCGCCGGTGAGAGTTGAGCATGCTGAAATGGGCAGAGTTGAGCAAATGGTGGGGCCGGGCCTGGACCCCAGTTTTTAACTCTGGGTGCCATTCTCTTCCCCCCTATCATTCTTCAGTGCTGGGTCTACACTGGCTTTTCAGCTGTCTCGAAACACACCAACGTGTCTATATGGATACTCTTTTGGAGAACCAGAATTTCTGGTTTGGTGTTTAGGGGAGATCACTGTTGTTTGATATGGGAACATGGAGAGAAGGAACAGAGTACTTTCAGAAGATAACATCAGAACTCAGTGCAGGGAAACAGGAGAGAGTAGACAGCTCTGGGGACTTACAGAAAAGACAGGGCTCGGACCCCAGAGGAAATAGTGGGACTGGTGTTGCAAAGGTGTCATCAGCTCAGTCACTGAGAAAGGAAGGGGGGGTAGAGCATCTGAAGTCCAAGGCAAGACTAGAACAGGTCAGTAGCAAAGGAGTCGTTTTTCACTTGCTTTGTATCATGCCCCCCAGCGTCAGCTCTCTGCTCCGTGTCACAGGCTTCCTCGGTAGTTCAGGAATCAGTTTGCGGGTAGCTCAAAGGGCCCTTCACTGCAGCTGAAACTCTCTCTCGCATCAGCCCCGATATCCCTCACCCACCCTCCATCCACATTTCTGCCTTGTCCCTCACTTATCTTCTGGCAGCTGCCCCCATTCCTGCCCTCCATTCTTCATGTCTGCAGAGAACGAGGAAATGACTTGATGCCTTTTATTTCTCTGGATTCTTCCAATATCTCAAGTAAGGCTATCCATTAAAAGGAAAGGACAGGGCTTCCCTGGTGGCGCAGTGGTTGAGAGTCCGCCTGCCGATGCAGGGGACGCGGGTTCGTGCCCCGGTTCGGGAAGATCCCACATGCCGTGGAGCGGCTGGGCTCGTGAGCCATGGCCGCTGAGCCTGCGCGTCCCGAGCCTGTGCTTCGCAACGGGAGAGGCCACAACAGTGAGAGGCCCGCGTACCGCAAAAAAAAAAAAGAAGGAAAGGACATAGAAACAGCTTCTGGAAATTTCTCCCACAAAAGCTTTGTTAAGGGGTGTGATCTCTTGAGACATTTACCGTAATATAGGCACAATCTTTCCATAGAAAAACAAATTCTCATTCACTGCTATTTTCTTTGGACTTAACATAAGGAATCATTGAATTCCCTAGTACAGAGGTTACTTAATAAGAAAATGAGAAGAATTCATGATTTAAAGACACAGTTAGGGCTCCCCTGGTGGCGCAGTGGTTGAGAGTCCGCCTGCCGATGCAGGGGACACGGGTTCGTGCCCCAGTCCGGGAAGATCCCACATGCCACCGAGCGGCTAGGCCTGTGAGCCATGGCCGCTGAGCCTGCGCGTCCAGAGCCTGTGCTCCGCAACGGGAGAGGCCCGCGTACCGGAAAAAACAAAAACAAAAACAAAAACACAGTTATAAGTAGGGGTATCTTGGTTGTTACAGTTACTCTCCTCCTTAGCTTGCACGAAATACACACAGCAGCTACAGAGTTGCACATGGGAACTGAACTAAAGGACTCTTTTTCTTTGCTCTCTAGTAAAATGAAGAATCCTACATGATAAGATTTATCATCTATAAATAGACTACGTTTATGGAGATAGAAATAACATCAAAGGCCTCCCTTATCTTGTGTTGTTTAATTATTTAAAGCTTTATAACTGAGTTCCTGAGCCCAATTTTTCAAACATGGTGACTTTCCTGTCCTCTCTTCTTTGGCGCACGGGACACCAAGTTATAAGTGACTTCTCAGAGTTTCTCATTTCCTGAAGTGCTCTATTAGCTCTATAAACATGGAAGAATAAATATTAGCTTTATGAGACCATGTTCCTCTACCAGTTGAAAAATAGCGTACAATAAAAAATACAAGGATGTAATGTTGAAAATTATAGGCCAGTATGCTCTCTTATTGTGGTTATATATCTAATCCTCATGCACAGAGACTACGTTTTCAGAAAAATGTGTGCTGTGTAACACCACTTGTGTCTGTGATGTATTTTCACCCCTCAGGTTTAACAATATATCTCAAGTGAGTCTGGCCTCACTAGTGAAATGTTTCAGACTTAGTTACTACTCTGATTTAAAAGCAAAGAAACAAAACTCTCCGGATCTTGCTATTAATTCTAAAAATTACATATGATCCAAAGTTAAGATGTTTGTGGCTTCCTTTCTAATTACATTAGAAAATGTCTGATGGCAATTTTGAATCAAGAGGAAGTTTTGTGAGGAGTTTAAAAATAAAAAGTCAGTTGTGGTCTTGCACAGCTAGTCAGTACTTTATGTGTGCCAATTGTTATTTCAAAATCCAGACTCTAATTACACATTTTTAGCAGCAATGAAAATGTAGCATCCATTGACTGTGCCCCTAAAGCTTCACATTCACACCCCGTAAGGAAGAAAAAGAGTAACCTACGTGGATAGTGTGTGAGTTGAAACACTCTTTTAAAACTAGAGGATTAAATATAATTATGTTCAGATAATTCACTTCCTTCTAGAAATGACCATCCATTTGCCAAAAGTGCCAATGATTCATCATATCAAGGACAGTTTCTTCTTCTACATTAACTCTCCATTGTTCCTCTTGCTAAAAACAGAAAATAATCAGCCTTGTGTATTCTGGGCTCAAAAGTAAGAAAATTGGACTTACTAGACTAGCTCCTTCTAATTGCCTAAATTTCTACAGCATTCTTCTTTTAAACAACAAAATTTAAAAATATATTAAATTTTATCATGAAGTAGTTTAAGCCTACAGAAAATAATAGATGTACCTACTGCCATATTTTATTTCAAGATTTTCATTTTTGATGACATTTATTGTTTTCTTTCTAACTTTATAAGCAAAACATACATGTTCATTGCAGACAAATAGAAATGCATAAAAACATAAAGGAAAAATTCAAAATCACCCATAATACCCCCCCTGAGAGAACCTTCATTGTTAGCATTTTTATGCATTTCTTCCCAGTGTTTACACATTTTTACAAATTGAGGTATAATTGACCTACATCACTATGTTAGTTCCAGGTACACAATATAGTGATTCAATATTTCTGTACATTACAA